TCTAAACACCTAGTCAACCAGTGGGCGAGTTTGTGGAAAGCTGATTTGATCGTAGACATTATATACCTCATTGGGATGATAGGATTGTGTATTTTAAGTAAGCCGTATAAGTAAGGTAATTGTGATCCTGTTGGTTTGAGTTCATTGTACGTAGGATTATAAATAAAAATTTTCTTCTAGATTACTCTCAACTTCTTTAAAACACGCTTCTCAGTCGCATCTTTTGGGTCTTTCTGGGTATTGTCGATAATAAATCTCGTGGAATTATTTAAAATGTACATTACTTTGCTAATGTATTCGTCTCTGTTTAGGATGATTACACCAGAACCCTTGTCTGATCGAAGGAGCATTATTGTCAAGTCTTTCATAAGGTTTTTCCCTGCTTGCTGATGATTTTTTGTCAATACCTTAGATTGCGGAATTGATTTTTAAAAATAATCTTTTCTTAAGTATATCCACACAAAGTTCTAATATTCTATCAACTTTAACAGTGGAAATATGCTGTAGCAGTTAAATCAAATAGCAATCGCAGTTGATTAAGGTTGCTGCAACTTTATTAATTGAATACACTTATTAACGAGGAATAGATGCAGATGAACTCTTTATTACACATGGATAGTAGTAAATAATGTTGAATTGAGGAATGAAAACTTCTAATCATCTAAAAAAATACAGACTAATAACTAGTAACTCAAATAAGACGGATATTTCTTGACTGGCTAAGATCTCAAATATTATTTGCAAAGTAGTGTAACTCTGTAATCGTGCTCGTGATTTTGAAAAGGCTGTAACCCACGGCTTTCATGAAAGTGCTAAGGATACCTCCTGGTATCCATAATACTTATGGAATAAAAGTTCTATATCCTAAATTTATGACTGTCAGCCCCAGATGTATATTTTTAAGTTCATGGAATACTGTCAACGTTAAATACAAACTTCCAGGAAACATTTTTAGAGTCCGTTAGATAGGCAATATGTATCCCCCGACCGTAGCTGCTACCTTGACGTGGTGGTCGGGCTTGCCTATCATGATGACCCAACCGAACTATATTGGCTGGAACATATGTTCCTGTAGGTTCTACCATGTCAGGCAGGTCGATTGGAGAACGGTAAGACTAAAAGCAGCAACTCAAGGTCTGAGGGCGAAGTCGTAATGCTGACTGTATAGAGGTGTGACAGCAGTAAGGTGTTTCCCTCGGACAACCAGCATCTGCAGCGATGCTGCCTTCTTACAAGGAAGGAAGGGGTTAGAAAAGGTTGACCGTAAAGATGTCATACCTCACCTTACCTGACGGATTTCCGTCTCCGGCGGTAAGGCCCTTTGAAGAACGGAGCTAACACGTTAAAAATCTCCTACAGAAAGGCCGTGCGCGACCGGCCTCGAGCAGTTGTCCCTTGGACTCTGAGATCACGCTCCCAGGTCGTTAAGACGAACACTAATCCAACTTTCTTTCCAGGTTCCTCAGGAAATACCCTTCCACGATGTGGGCAGCCGGGAAGTGATATCAGCCCTCATGCACGTAACAACACGCGAGACCAAGTTGGTCACATTCGAATCATTCCTACGCCTCCTAATAACTCTCTTATCTCCACGACTAACCCTTCTCACGTCCATTTATCGCCTTGCACCGCTGGTGCGAACGATTCGAGTACGCGGAACGTTATTCCTGGTCTCCTGAAACCACGTTCCAAAATACATCTAGGAGCTTTTAACGTTCGAGTATTGTGCCAAATTGGACATCAGGCTTCCTTAGCTAGAACTTTAGAATCTCGTGCCATCGATGTGTACTGCGTCTCCGAAACGCGCATACAGGATCCGAGTAGCGTCATTCATTTGACCTCACCATGTCAAAATATAGAACCAATTCGATTCACTGTTCGTGTATTTGGGAGCATTGAGTCCTAGGGCAGAACTAGTTCTCTTAGACTGGATCCCAGTAGACATTTGTTTGTGCACTGTCCGACTAAACGGAACAGTAAGGACTCGGAAAGATGGGGACACTTGTCGTTGCCTCTTCGTCGTTTCTGCCTATTCTCCCACTGACTGCATCGCAGATGATGTAAAAGATGAGTTTTACAGAAAACTCTCCGACCTTCTCCGAAATGCTAGGCGCTCGGATGTAGTAATAATGGCCGGTGACTTTAGTGCTCAAGTAGGTAAACTAAGCGAAAGGGAAAGACACCTGGGTGGATCTTATGGTGTCATGGCTAAAAGAACAGATAATGTCGACTGTCTGTTGCAGCTATGCTCAGATAACCGCCTGGTTCTTGCTAATACGGAAAGACAACCCATTGTGTCATTGAATAAGAAAAAGAGAATTCAGCGAAGAGAATTTTCTTTTCGACGAAATCATTTACTTAAGCTGTACGTTCTTATACAATTTCTCCATATAACTATATATACGAACGTGCAGCTTAAGTAAATGATTTTGTCGAAAAGAAAAATTTCTTCGCTGAATTCTCTTTTTCATAAGGAAAAACATCTTTTGACATGGCGACCCTCGAATTCGTCCCAACGTTGGACCCAGATAGATCAAATCGCCATCAGCCACCGATGGAGGGGCTCGATAGAAGACTGTCGCTCGTTCTGGAACACATGCTTAGATTCAGATCATGTTATAGTGCTAGCGTGTTTGTCTGCGTTTTACTGGATATAGGAAAGACGCTGCAAGGAAACCTCTTAGGGCCCTACTTAATGATAGTCAAGCTAAGAGTATATTTCAGGAACAACTAGGAAAATAGTTAGGCAGCCATGTATGTGATGCCCACCCCGAGGCAGCATGGAATGATATCCGAAAAACTGTGAAAACTGCAGTGATATCTGCTAGTACGGTAGACCACAAGGTTAGGGAGAAACACTGGATCTCAGCAGCATCTACCGCACTCATAGATGCTCGAACACTCATTCCATCTGGCTCTGAACATAACGAAGAGCGCAAGCTAACAAGAAGCCTACGCAATGATCGCGAACAGTGGTGTGTAGCGGAAACAAGAGAGATGGAAAAGGCAGCGGCAATAGGTAATACCAGACAATTGTTCAGACTTGTTAAGGAAACCGGAATTAGGAACCCGACTGTTAGCGAAACAATCTCAGAGAAAGATGGACATATAATACATTCTCAATCCAGGAGATTGGATCGATGGGCAGAACACTTTAGGGATCAGTTCAACTGGCCTTCAGCCACACTTCGGTTTTCCACGATCTCTAGTCAATCTGAATGGCAAGTTAATGTAGGCACTCCGTCCCTTTACGAAGTTGAAAAAGCTATAGGAAATCTGAAGCGAGGGAGAGCAGCAGGCCCTGACAGGTTTACTCCTGAATTTTTTAAGGATGGTGGTCCAGGATTAGCAGTGAGGTTGACTGAGGTCTTAGGTAGAATTTGGGAACTGGAAACAGTCCCATCTGACTGGTCTCAATCACTGATTGTGCCAGTCTATAAGAAATGACAAAAGTCCTCTTGTGACAATCACAGAGGAATCAGTTTGACTAATATAGTGTCTAAAGTATTAGCTTCAATAATACTTCGACGCCTAACCAAAGCTCGTGAAGAACAGACTAGAGAAAATCAGGCTGGTTTTCGACCTGGACGTGGTTGTATAGACCAGATATTCACACTACGTCAGGTCCTAGAACATAGACATGCATTCAGACGCCCCACAATGGTAGTATTTCTCGACCTTAAGGCGGCATTCGACTCTGTTGATCGTGAGGTTCTATGGCAGTGTTTGTCACTGAAAGGAGTACCAAAGAAGTACATTAACCTTATAAAGGCTCTCTACTCGAACACAACTGGTAGAGTGAGAGCTTATGGTGAACTGTCATCAGAATTGATTACCTCAAGTGGTGTTCGTCAGGGCTATCCACTCTCCCCATTCTTGTTCAACTTTGTGGTCGACGTACTTTTAGAGATAACACTCTCCTCATCTAAATTTCCAGGGGTTGAACTTCTACCGGGAGGTTCACTTGTTGACTTAGAATATGCAGATGACATAGTTTTATTTGGTGAAGGCGCTGACAAAATGCAGAGTCTTCTGACCACTCTAAGCAACAATGCAAGCATGTTCGGGATGCGATTCCCCCCTCAAAATGCAAAATGTTGCTTCAGGATTGGGTTGCATTGACACCCGAACTAATGATAGGGAGTGAAGTAGTTAAGCATGTTGACCATTTCACTTATCTGGGAAGTCTCATCAGCCCTTGTGTTCTAATGTGTGTTGAAATCTCAGCACGGATACAGAAGGCTCGACTAGCTTTTGCCAACTTGCGTCATTTATGGCGTAGGCGAGATATCCGTCTATCAACCAAAGGACGAGTTTACTGCGCAGAAGTTCATTCCGTCCTACTTTACGGCAGTGAAACATGGCCGGTAAGCGTAGAAGATATTCGCAGTTTATTAGTATTCGATCACAAGTGTCTTCAAAACATTGCTCGTATATCCTGGGACCATCGAGTAAGTAACGGAGTTGTTAGGAAACGGGTATTAGATAAGAATGGCAAATCAACTGGTGAAGTGGTGGAACTTCATCAGCTGAGATGGCTGACTTATATGCATCTATTCCTAGTGTTATTAATTTCATTTCTCACCGCCTAAATGTAAAGGGTTCGTGACCTCTAAATTCATTGACTGTCAGTGGAATATCATAACAAGAGTACTTAGATACCTAACAACCTTTTCGATTTAGTGATTAATGAATTTAGCTGGGTTGTACAGATGTGAAAGCTACAACCACAGTAGCTGTCATTAAAAATTACAAGTCAAATGCCGGATTGTCTAAAGTTAGTTGATTAGGATCAGCTTTGTTTATTTAGAAAAATATGCACGGGAACTTCAAGGGAACTATTATGTTTATTTAGTATTGCTCAGTGAACATGATGTACAATGACTGATTTATCTGGGGTTCACGATATGTATATTAAGGGAAGAGATAATTGTAGACACAAAAAATATCTGAAAATTTTGTTTGACTAAATAAATCTTGAGTAATTTAATACAGCTTCTGTCAATATGAAATATCAAGAATAATACTCACACTACATTGCAGTAATAAAATAAACAACGAAAGTTTGTAATTTGTGCACGAGTTTGATTGAAGCAAATTAAACTATTTACGGTAACAAGATCAGGCATACTATATCCACTAGCCTGTTCATCACAAACAAATGGCCGAAAACTTTGTTACTCGAATGAAATACATAAGGTGTGATACTTTCTGTTTGCACATTCGAATATGTTGCGTAACATTTATTGGTTAAATCAATCTTTGCTGTGGAAAGAAAAACAAAATTCTGGTGTGATTTTTATACATGTATTTAGAAAATATCGTTAACGATTTCACTGAGAATATGAGAGAGGTCATTCATCATTTATCCTAGGTATTCATCTGTACCAACGTCAAACTGATACTATGTGCAAAACTTAGGAATAATTAAAACGACGGATCAATCAGAATGAACCAGTATTAAATTTATTAACTATAAGGAAATAACTTACTGTATTTAACTGACTTCAATTCTCTAAACTGCGATTAAGAGATAAGAACTAGGTTCTGGCTAAAGGAAAATATCACTCGAATAAAGGTATCTCATGGAAGTGAGTTAGTCGTGAATATATTTTTTGAATGAAGGCCTTATTCAAAACACTAAGATGTTAACTACAGTTCAATGTTATTACAGCAAGGAACAAAACAACCAAGTGTCTTTTATATCAGAATATATTATGCTATAAAAAAGACTAAAGGCAAACACCGCCGTATATGCAAACAAGTGGAAGAATCAACATGGGTGGGAAGGGATAGTTATAGCAGAAGCATCTAATTATATCCAATAAGTAACAATTAACACAAAATGTAAGAATAAAGAATATATGTGTATGTATCGATTAAATGAAGACATTCAAAATAACCGCAATTAAAAACTTTTTTCTAGTAATCGAAGACAATTTAATAAGACACAAATGAAGACTGATTAAATGCCTTATTGAGATGTCACACAGCCTTTCATTGGTAGTAATCATGATGATACATACTATAGTCTATGTTATTGTATTGTTCATGAACATAAATGCACGAAAACGTGATGTGTATGTCATTCACAGATAATATATTAAAAACAGACGGTAAGAAACAATGTAGAACAGAGAGAAAGAATAATGACAAATAGGGAAATATATTTCCGAAAATAAATAAAATAATAAGTACGTAAATAATGTGTCATTAAATCAATTATTTGGTTTTTAGTAACATATAATATGAAATGATTTAAAGAATTAATTCAAGCTGTAAATTACAAATATTCTGATAGTTTAATTTTGTTTTCTATTCATACAGTAATAATTGCGCGGGAAAATCTAAATATACAAGTAAAAAACAAGTTTCTGAAATACAATTCATAATGATAATAGTAACCACGTAAATGGTTCTTATTGGTGATTACATCAGGATATAGTAACAATAATAATAATAATCATTACTATTATTAAGAGAATTGATAAGGTATGAAGAGAAAAATCACCACGAAAAAGAATCCCATCGTTAAAAGAAAAATGGCAAATGTCATGGGTACATGGAAAATCGAAAACTTTTAGTGAAGGTCATGAAACAATGCAGAGTTCATTAAAGAAAAAAATACACATTAAGAATTTGTTGAATGCAATAATAATTACAATAAACACCACATAACATATTAGAAACTAAATAGGCAAATAGATCTGGAGAACTAATTATGAATATTGAGCTGATTACAACCGTATATTCATTGAAAGCTACTGCGTTTGGTGATGAAAGATCAGAGTTTGAATTGCATGTATTGCACACGGATGAATTCACACTACCGATACACTACAGAAAGTAAACAGTATTGACCGGATATGAAGAACTTTGGCAAAGATCAAATGCTAAATCTAGTTTAATCCTCAACAGGTTCATTTGTAAAATGACATGGGTAAAATATACTCAAAGATGAAAGAGATTCATACTTTTAATAAACTAAATACAAACTCAAATTTTTATTATTTAGACCGCGTTATTCTGTTGTATATTCCAAAGCATGAGGTTTAACATTGGGTATATTATCAGTTGATATGATTGGATTGTCTCCTAAATTTACCTCAGAATTACAAACATGGTCATCGGAATTAGGAAATGTACAGTCAGGAACAGCTTCATGTTCTAATTTAGACTGTAATCCTGATGGCACAACTAACTGATGCTGACTTTGGTGGTGTTTATCCCTGTGCTTGGGTTTGCCACGACTAAAGAAGTTTACAAGAGCATTTCTTTTCTTCAACAATCCACCTTTTAAATGTGGAGTAGTTTCATTTTGTAAAATATTATCTGATAGTTTTGAGCTCTGAAAATATAATAAAATGGATAATTAAGGAATGATTACAGTTATAAATAACAACAATAAGTAATTTAGATGAAATTTATTAAACAAACTACAATACTAAAAATTAGAGATCAGAACACGATAAGAAATGGAGCAAACTGATAGAATAAAAATGGTATCCAGGATGCTATGAATTATTCGTGGTAGTACGATTTCTATCCAATGCTAATCAAACACGACCCAAAACTACTTTGCAAGTCATAAATAATTAGGGATGTTTCTAATCAATAAAACGATGATATTACTATAATTATACCAGCTGTATTTCGTAATACAGCATTTAACAATTATGATTTTAAAAGCTGTCGTATTAGCTATGGAAGACTAGCCATATACAACTATTATCAGTGAGCTATAAAATGGTTTTTCAGACGAGAAATGAACAACAGTTGTCTGTCTTGTGACCTTTATTTTCGACCTTGATTATTAAACTGACAAGAAAACTCATGGTCGCACTACTTTAGTTAGATATTTTATCTGAAAAAATGACTTTAATTTCCTGACCTGTACATATGTACATCCGTGCTCACCTAGGTGGATAGCGATTTTGTTCTCTGAAATATATTCAATTTAAATTTTAAGCTCAGTCTAGTGAGAAAAACTGTTAGCTTGACAAGAAAAATAATTATACATTGCCTCAGTTTAGAGTAATTTAATTAAGGAAATATTCATTCATTATATACAGAGAAACATTATTAAAGCGAGCATTAGTATTACCACTTTAATCTAGCTAATAAACACAAATAAGAAGTTTTATATTCAAATTCTCAACTGAATACATCCAATAGATTAGATGTCAGGCATATTATTTACATCTTTCATGACTATCTCATTACGCTTATAAGAGCTATAAATATCAAAAACAATATTTGACGCCTAACAATAAACCTATGTTAAAACTGAAGTATAACATTCCAAGCAGTTATTCAACTGGCATTAATCTTAGAAGCTATTTATACAAACTTGAATGGTTGAGAATCTATTGTCGATATACATTTGTGGTAATGCCAAGGATAATTGTAATAATTTTGTGCTCGAAGCATTTTATACAATACACTTACAACTCACTTTACTTTGTCATCTTAGATGATCACACTACTTCCACTACCAGACATCCGACAGTCATTCATCAGTTACAAATCAATAAGGTAAACAGGGTACATGACTTTAAGAAACTGACTATTAGGAAGTAGGATACTTTCCAACTCAATAAAACATACATTCCAAACGAAAAAATCCATATATTATTATTAAAGAATTGACAAATATATGAACTTGTAGTAATATGACCTTAAACTACCTTATAAATGTATACTGAAAAACAATATGAAGATGAAACAAGCTCTTAGAATGTAACAGCACAACAACTATCCATTATACCACGAAGCAGTGTTTTAGTGTAGATATGTAAAATACAAGGGAAACATTATAGATTAAGAAATTTTGTAACTAGCGAAAAAAACAGTCCACGCAAGTTAATCGTACAATTTGAGGGGAGATGTATTCTGATTTATAGACTGCATCAAGGATTTAAACACCAGAGAAGACACGATGATATCATTAGATGTGATAGGATTATACGCAAATGTTCCTTTTATGGAGGCAGTAACTATATGTGATACAAAATTTGAGAAATGGGAACAGACATCATGATCCCGGTAGATGTAATTAAGAACTTATCATTAAAACAAATCATGGATATGAATATTATGTTTGGTGGAATAGTATACAAAAAAAGGGAATAGAGCAGAAATGGGTTCACTATTGAATCCAAATATCAGCCAGTATTTTCCCTTGGAAAATTAGGAGACGAGCTAGCTGCAGTTCACTGGTTTTTTTTTACAGCCAATACATGAACGATGCTTTCATCCTGTGTAAAGACCATACTGATCAGTTAAAGGCGCTTGGAGCATTTAATGAAGTCCATGCGGGAAGAAAGCAGAGGTAGAATAAACTATTTTTCTTTATTTCGTAATATTCCAGTCTACATCCCATAGATAGATTCGGTTTGTTTTAAATTTGAAATATTCATTTTGTCAGTTTAATGGTACAGAGCGTATTCATCACTGTTATGATTATTATTCCAGTCTATATCCAACCAGTTTTGTTGATTATAATTGATGGCTGATGCCACCAAGACGTCAAACTACCGCGAAAATGTCATTTCAAAACACCAACAAATTAAAACTGAAGCAGAATAGTTACTTGAAATATCTTTCCGTAAATAGAAATATGTTATATGGATATAATTTGGTAACTGCATAGATTTATCATACACAAATAATATGAAATGATTTGCAGGAGTGTAAAACGCTTTTTTTACTGAGAACGTTTAATTTCATCAGTACTGTTAGTCAATGCTAAGATTGTTTTAATAATTAATATAAACACATCGTATAGAATTAATTCAAAAAGATTATGGTGATTGCATGGATAGTGAAAACAAAAACCAAATTTGCAACCAGTTGATTAAAATTATCATTTATTTGTGTTTGTTCGTGAAATCAGTCTTGTATTGATATGCCATTCATTGAAAATATTGGTAGATATTTGGTTGGTTTGTCATTTAAATTACACTTCCCTAACAAGTGACGAGAATATTAGCATAACACTGACAAGAACTAGAATCGCGATTACATGAACGGTGAGTATTCTAGAAGATAATTAATAAATGCAAATCCTTACAGACATTGTATAATATTTAACTCATTCAAAATCACAGAAAGTTAGAGATGGTATAAATTAACCATAATTTGTCTTAAGAGACAGAACGTAGTGCTGTCATTCAGAAAATTATATTTAATCCAATTTGCTTCAAATTTCCAGTTTAAAAGTAATCTAGTAGTAGTAAACACTAAAATAAACATAAATTAAATTTGACTTACAACAGATTGATTAGTCAGCTTTAAGGAGCTATTTGCACTTTGAGAAGATTTGCGGTAAACTGATGTGTCACACACATCATCAGTTTGATCATCACAAGTTAGGAACTTCGAATCTACAAGTTTTTCGCGATTCGAAAATTGACGCTCGGCAGATAAAGACCGAGCAAGACAAACTGGTCGATCTTGAGATCCTGATTTAAGAGGAATAATTGGGCGTGAAGCGGAAGACTGTCTTCCTGTTCCAGTCTCTTTTGTGCCTATGGAAGATGAGTTAGAACCTAATCTAACTGGGCGTTTCATTGTAAAGCTTGGCCACTTTTTATGTGGTTGTTGACTTGCTTGATTACATGGAGATATGGATATAGATAACTGAGCATCAGTTCGTACAGATTGATCTGTACTAAAAGTTGACGTAAGTTCATGTGTTAATGAATCCTTAGCTAAAAATCAGAAACAAAGCGAAGATAAATGAGAAACCATAAAAAAATATGAAAGAATGAAATTAGGATTCGATGTGATTTATTTAACAAACATGAATTAATGTTTTACACATGATCCGTATATTTTTGAGTGATACTAACCAGATGTTGAGACTAAAGTACATAGGGGTGTTTTGGAAACTGGGACTTAATGGTTGTAAGCCGGATGTTTTGATCACTAAGCTGTTGTTTTAAAAATGATAAAGTAACTCGTCTATAAAGAAACTAGTGATTTACAAACATTGTACACAATATCAAATTTAAGAAACTTACAAATACTTAGTAACTAGCAAATATTTAACCAAGATGTAAATAGATAATTTACAGACAATAAAAAGATTTAGCGGTTGCATCTCAATTTAGCTCTATAACAAAGGCATTAGTAATTAGAAACTCTAATTATCCAGTGTATCTTTCCGCTTGCAGTAGATGCTCTAGAACTGTAAATGGCACCTTATTCATGCATATATTGAGGTCTGTTAGAAAGCCTCAAAACCAAAATATAATGTAATAAAAATATCTATCAGTTAAGGGAAACTAAAGTTGGATATGACTCTTACATATTACACAACACTGAATCTTAAATCTCAAATTAGAAGGGTGGATCTCTTATACTACAACTACCACGACACTTATTCGAAGTTAAATAAGATCACAGGACTTATTGGTTAACACGTTTTATCACATGTATGCAATCACATTATTGACGGAATGTAAAATTCAGTTACTGATTGAACTTCAGTTTGAAAGATTTCCTCACTGACACTTCCAAAAAAATATTAGTTTTGCCATTAACGGTTGGTGGTCATTGTTGTTATTTAAATAAAAACGCATAAAATTGTGGATCAGTGTAAGTCATCACATTTACAGCAAATACACAAAAAAATCAGTGAATGGAAATGCATAAAGACAGCAGAGAAACGCTTGAAGCTTTGAAGACCTTTGTTCACCAGAAATAAATCCGCTACGAAACCCTTTCTTATAGTCTTCTGAGGCTTCAAAATTTTTCGACTATGGAACCGCTATTAACAATTCGAGCTAGTAAAAAATTATTCCTAGAATCCCAAACATAAATATATGTAACAGTTTTTAGTGTTCTGAATGTATAAAACAAAACAGGCTTCACTATCCAAGAACCATAAGTTACGTGATAACCTTATAAGTTATCACTGAAACTCGCATACAAGAACCAAGTGTGGTTATTCACTTGACCTCAGATAGCAAATATACATTAAATCAATTAATTAAAGCAGATAGATTTCGGCACACTTGCGTACCAACAAAATGCACCACACGAATAAAGTAACGGTAATGTGGAGAGGAAATTTTCATACAATCAATCAATAAATGGATAGGTAGAGTACTTAATGAGCTTCAGTTCAGTTAAAAGTAAACACAAGAGGAGTTCCATTTAAGAGAGGTCATCTCACTTTTGTGAACAATGTAATAGGAAGCTACAACAAAATCATCACTAGCCCAAATTTTGAGCAATATATGATAACGTTTCAAGCCACTGGGTCTCACAATCTCTAGAATCCCAACCTGAGAGTCGTGATGGCAATATCACAATGCCAGTTTCCATGACAGTGCCATCGTACAGACCGATCACACCTGGGCTTTTTTACCATATCACATGGTCAATTTGATTTCAGGCTTCAATATAAGAGGGAGGAACGCCAAGTAGAAAGTGAGCAGTCATGGTAACCGTCTTCTGCACTTATGTAGACCATAATCATTTTAAGTCGAGCATCAATTTTAGACATGAATGTGGACTCGTCTTTTGAGCACCAAGTAAGTGACTCTTTATAGGTTCAGAGGCATATGTATAGAATTATGTTCGAGAGGAGTCAGCTCCAACAGGCATAATTGGAAAGGTGTTATGCAGCACAATGTCGTGAAAATGAGTGGCCGAAATCAGTCAGTCAGCTACAACGTAGGACCAGGCACATATGTGCATCGGTCCAAGTTGCCATACCTCATTAACACAACAAGATGGACACCGGATTCATATAAGTGGTTAATTCAGAGGTGGTAATATATAAAAGAAAGATTGCAATAAGGAAGAAAGAATTAGTTCGTAGAAAGAAAGATATGAAGCCAGTTTAATCTCTTAGTTTAAGAGAAGACAGAGAGTGTATACACCGACGCCATTGTGACCGATTCTGAGCCATGTCACCTAGAGTCTCCAACCATTGGTTATGACATTCACGCGGACCCCAACCAAGTAGTCTGCATCTACCAACATGGCTCACACTAGAAGTTAGTGACTTCAAGCACACATGCCACGTTTTGGTTTGGCCGCCCCTAACTTTCTTCCAACCATCTCCAACTCCCGTCAGCATTGCACGTCGTGGTGACCGGTGTTTAGGCGCATACAGCACGTGACCCAACCTTCTCAGTCGATGAAGATTCGCAACCTCATCAACTGATTTACCATCATTCCCTAATACCCTGCGTCTAACCTCACTATTACTTACCCGGTGATTCCAGCAGACGCCAGCAATATTTCTAAGGCATCTGTGGTCAAATACTAGTAGCTTACGAGTGTCTTCTACTCTGAAAGGCCATGTTTCGCTGCCGTGAAGTAAAACAGAAATAAGCGTGAATGCTTTTGTACCTTCGAAGCAGGAAGTCTAGGTGCACTACTGGCTGGGAATCGAGGTATATTTTGGAGCTACATAAGTATCGTTCTAACAATTAGCACTGACAATTTAAGGAAATATATATTCTTATGTAACTGTCATAGATAAAAGAGCTTGGATAACAGGGTTTTTAGGATAATGACCTCCAAATATAGCTGTCGATTAACTGGAGAACAAGAATGACCAACTCGACAAATGTGATGCCCAACAACACGTTAAGATCAAATATTTATGCTTCAACATTTTCGAACATAGGCACACTTGCAGATTCGTTGAAGCTTTATAAAAATTTGCATATATATCATAACGATAAGCTGGGTTCTGAAAACATTCAAGTTAGAAATTTTAAATGGGAAATTCGGATCAGAAATCCTTTGTAAGATCTAGTGGGAAAAACAGTTTATTTGAGAAAATACAAGAAAAAACCCACTTCCGTTAAAGTTGCTCTCATGTTTATGAATTAAAAAGAAACTAAAGTACGCCAGTCACAGGCTTTTATTCGGAGACATGTTTGATAAAGTTTCAAACCATTGAGTTAGATTATCTCTCGGACCACAGCTGAGGAATCGTGATAGACTGACAAATGCCAGTTCTGCACAGCTTTCTATTATTATCCAGCATGTCACAAAGTACAATGTGGGACTCACTGAGACGATGTTCGTTGTACACGTCGATGATAACGTCAATTTAATGATCATCACTGTGCCAAACTTTCACATTATAAATATAGTGTTGCCTCTGAACTTCAGCAATTTTTCGGACACAGTTTGCCTTTCATCAATCTAGCAACCATCAGCATTCAAACAACTACCCAGATAAAAAACTTTTCGACTACTATCTGCTCACTAACACGAGTCAGTAAATTTAGTGTGTGAAAAGTACATGACATAGGTATATATATTGACTGACAACTGATTTAGTGTCGATTGCATAGTCTGATTATTCGAAACGTACTTTATTTGAGAATCAACGGTCAAATTTAGGATTCTAAGAAATTACTTGTGTGTTAAGTGTTATACAAACAACTTACCCCATCCTTCATCCCGAGTGCTAGTGTTGAATTTCCTTGGATCTTGGAGAGCAAGCAAAAATTCGTGCTGCATATGCTGAATATCACGCAACTGTACAACCCATGCTTCTCTATTTGAACAGCTAATAGGATCAATAACATAGACGAAGTCTTTTCCAGGAGTTTGGTCTAAAATTGCAAACCGCAGATCGTCAGGTGAATAGCCACTGCACAAAAGATTATCAATAGTTGCAGCTTCTGAATTTATGTGACCACTCGAAAGAGTACAATTGTACCAATGAGACTGAAGAGCAACAATGAGACAAGAACAGTCAATAAAAATACTTTGCAATGATGTAAATCAAGATTAAGTAGTAGTAAATAGTTCAGAAAAGGGATCCATTCAAAAATTTATTCAATTGAGTATAAAAACAAACTGAAATATACTGGACCTGTATTTCTGCAAAAATTCCAAGTAAAAATGTACGTAAATGCACAGTAGCAAGCGTTACCACATGAATGATGGAAATCTATCCAAGCTTAATAAATTAACATTAAACTATGAAGGGCATTCATTTACCACCTCTGTCTATACTCACACATCAGTAGCATTTATGTGAGACTTAAAGTGGGATATGTTAGCAACTTGAATACTGTATACAATAGATATCTTTTTTACAACAAATCTTGTTAATAAAAATGGATAGTGGCTAGCAGTGGGATCCAGGACACGCGTTTCGTCCTACTTGGGACTCGTCAGCTGGATATACCTACACTTCAGAGTTGATGTTCACTCTGGGACTCGAACCCAGTACCGTTCGCTTCAAACACCATCGCGTTATTCACTTAGCTACTGATTCCTGATAGCCACTTGGTTGTGCAATGAGGTGAAGTTTAATTCATTTGATAGTTTTACTTGAATCTTCCCATTGATGTTTAGGACTGCAGTTGATCAGTCTCGGGTCAATTAAATCAAATCTTGTTAAGAAAAACTTTTTGGAGGAAACCAGAGAAAATGACGATTGATGTTCTCCATACGTTGCACTTGGGGATACGACATCAATATCACTCTTCTGATCACCGTATAAAATTTTGGAGATGCTTTGTAAATGTTATCAAATCACACTATAAGAGCTTTACAACCAGTGGAAAAAGCATCCACAGAACCTGTTGGAAGTATAAATGTTTTTATTATGCGATCTACAGTTGACATGACTCAATTAGCAAATTTAAACTAGAATGAGTGACTAGTACTGTAATTATATAATAACACTAATTAGAACAAAGTTGTCCTCAAGGGGTTAACTAATGAATAATATATCGTGTGGAATGACAAGCGATTGAATTAAATTAAGCAATTTTTGACCATAGTGATTAATTAACATTTAAACATGTGATTAGAAAATCTGCTTTAAAAGTTATCTGTACTCACCTCATAACGCATTTTGTTGACATTTATTGCAGCTTTAAACTGATAAGTAGACTGGGAAAATGTATCACTGGTAGCTACGCGACGCTTTGGTTTAACTTCTTCTGTTACGAGTAGCATTTGCTCGAATAAAAACAACCGTGATTCTACAAACTTTAGATTTCCTGTAAAAAGTCCATTTCCTTCTGAGATAACAGAATTAAGGCCTTCAACAGGAGAAGGTAATCCCAAACTATTTGGTGTAGCAGAGGACGAACACATTGTGGCTGAAGTGTCTGTAGAAAGTGATGGACCCGTATTTACTCCAGATCGCCCAACATGAGAAGGGATTTTGTTAAGTGATGTATTGGTTTCAGAAAAAACACCACTGTTGACATTTTGAAGAGCCATTTTATAGGCAGTGACAGTTTCTAACAACTGCTCACGAGTAGTAGTTGCTACTAACAGATCACTGCGTAATAATATGTTTCCCAAAGCGGTTATTACTCCAGGGAAGCCATCTATACGAGCAGCCTGAAAAGTAATGAGTATTTGTTATAAACAGTGAAGCAAAAAAACTACGATGAATGTGACTATATATAAAGTGCAAGAGCGTAATCCAAAAGTTCAGTGGTTAATGCCAAAACTGAATAGCTATAATTCATTTTATGGTATAAAAGTTGGCCAGCACAACTGTACAGCATATTAAAAGTTGTACTCAATAAATAAAGACACATATGAGTGGGAGATGACAATATACAAACTATGTATGACAAGAAACGATCCACAAATATTTACATTTATTTATTTATGTATATTTTCTGTGACTTGCAGATGAATACAAAGTTAATACCATCATGTTCTAGAGCTTCACTTATCTGACACAATAAATTCGGCAAGTTGGTGCACAACATCCTATATCTGGTTGTTCCGATTATTTTGCAAACAAGGGTAGGGCCAGTAGAAAAGAAACTCAACTTATTACAGGACAATTGTTAAGCTGTGCGTTGCACAGCTACAGTAAATGATAAAATTAAAAAGTTCAGTAGCTGGGTAAACAACACGATGGTGCTTGATGCGAACGGCACTGGGTTCGAGTCAAGGTGTGAACACCAAATTTGGGATGCAGGTACATCCAACTGACAAGCCCCAAACCAAACGCGCGTCCTGGATTCTACTGCCAGCTATTATCCACCCTTGCTTAAAAAACAAGAGATTAAAGTACTTAAACTATTGATATGGAGTTGGGAATTTAAAAAGGAACCGAGAACTGAAGGGTAAAACATAACTGGAAATTGAAAACTCTAGTTCAGATCAATGTGTATTCGCTGATAGAAAATAGGTCCACTTTACATTGATTGAAACATCTATTTATAATACAGAAATCGGTACGGTTGTTGGTTACTTTGCTTTACAGTCGACTTTCTAGTCACTACTTAAATTTTCCACATTTGCACGAAAAGTTGAAGATTTCTAATATATCCTAATGAATTTCGTAAACCTACCGTTTTCGTAAAGACTTTTAAACTTGATGCATTCAGTACATTATTTTTCTGAAAACCATTCTAAATAAGCTTCGTTTGCAAAATATGGTTTTAGTTTACTCAATTTTCGCAAATGTTCTGTCGATATTATTCTAGCCTGAGATTTAGGTATACGAATTTCATTGTAAATTTGTGTTGTCTTCCGAGCTGGATGGCCTAACAGAGCGAACAAGTTTAGAAAAGGCAAACCACAAGAGAGGATCAGTGGCGAATAACATCCAATGAACCCGTTTTGCATCAACTACACGACAGACCGGAACCATATAAACCAGAGAAGAGAACTGTTATATCCTAGTGAAGATCAAATTATAGGGAACTTCTGAGAACTGTTAATGGACTAATATTATATGTGTATTCTTATCGTATAGCTATTCAGTAACTAGACTGCATATCTATACTCCTCTTGTTATAAGCTTTATTTTAACCTATAGACAATCATTATACGATTTACTGTTCTTAAGTTATGTCAAGTTTATTAATTACTGTCTCCCAATCACTTTTCGGCTTGATCTTGTACAAATGCTGTTTCCTATTTTGTGGTGTGATGTGGTCCATTTGGCTTGTGTATAAACCAGGTGTGTTTGAAATAGAGGATTTACATAATGGAAGCTGGTATTGGTGTTATGGACTTAAGTGGCAGGGCCAGTAGGAAAAGGACCAATAAAGACACTAGGCTGCTCATACCAATCGAACGTCATTGGTTTGGACAGTGCTAAGATTGTATTCTTTTTCAGGTTCCCTGAATGCCCTGGTACGGCCGAGAGTGGGGAGAGTCCGCTCTCCCTCTCGAAATACTCTCACACGGCCACGCGTATACAGCCTCTGCCAGGGAAGTCCTACTCATTGCCTTCTCGAGGCGGGGGTGTTGTTTACGAAAATGAGAGGACGAAAAGCGAATGTCCGGCGCTTTAACCGGATTCCAAACCAATGGTGCACATGGGCTCCAGTATCCTGCGGGAACAAATGGCGTATGAACCAATCGTTGGTCACCGGCTACCATGGGACTGCATCTCCTTACGATGCTCCACTGCCTTGTGGGTTAGACCTTTAGGTTAAAGGCTCGGGGTGTGGTTCCCTAAGATAACCACCTGCTTCGGTTTGGGCACCCAGGCAGTATCACAGCCCACACAGAAATGATGAACTCTTTATGTCTATGGAAATTATTTTTCTCGCTTCGAAAAACAATCAATTGATTCATATTATTATCATCACAATTATTGTCATTATTAATACTATTATTATTATTACCATTATTGTCATTATTATTATTATTATTATTATTATTATTATTATTATTATTAATATTATTTTCCACATTATTCACCCTCTTTCATACTTATACAGCGGCTCGTCTTTGGTGGAAATTCGACTGTATCTAAACGTTCTCGAGTCACTGTCCGGTTGAAAATTGTATGTTACCACCGAATACGAGAACTTAAGCAGTTTTTCTGAAACCACGTGCACCATTCAAACTGGCTGCCTTCAACGTTCGCACACTTATGCAGGTCGGACAACAGATAGGGCTGGCTATGTCTTTGGAAAGTCTTAATATCGATTGTCTGCTGTCTATCCGAGACCCGTATTCAACACTGGTGAAGTACTGCTAATTCGCTCTCCATCTGTTGCTTCGAAAAGCTTGTTTTACGTGTTTATCCAGGGACCCTGCGGCATCTTCGTCTGGTCTTGCTGGCGTTGGTGTCGCACTGAGCGCTAGAGCTGAGGCAGCACTAGTCGATTGGATCCCCATTAACAGTCGGTTATGTGCTGTTAGATTAGAAAGTTCCATCAAAGTGAGAAGAAATCGGCGTGAGAAACAATGTCTTTTCGTCATCTCCGCCTATGCCCCGACAGATTGCAGCCCGGATGCAATCAAGGATGAGTTTTACCACCAGTTATCAGTTCTTCTCCAGAAAGTGCGTTCGACAGATATTGTAGTACTAGCCGGAGACTTGAATGCCCAGGTCGGGCGTCTAGGCACAGAAGAGAGTCGTTTAGGTGGCCGATGGGGACTCGTTGGTCGCAGGTCAGATAACGGGGACCGTCTACTGCAACTTTGCACAGACCACAACCTGTTTTTGACTAGCACTAACTTTCGGCACAGTCATCGCCGATGTGCCACCCGGCGTCCTCCCTCTGCATCTCAAGCCTGGACTCAGATTGATCACATCGCGATCAGCTACCGCTGGCGTGGTTGTGTACAAGACTGCCGCTCCTTTTGGAGTACCTATCTAAACTCTAACCATGCCTTGGTCTGCGCCAATCTTGCCTTACTTTTCAGTGGCCAACGAAGCGACCACCACCAAAAGATTGATGTTAGCAAGCTGGTTGCAACTTCTGTTGCAAGTAAGTATTGAACCGAGCTAGCCTCTAGGCTAGCTACCACTCCACCGAAAAGTATAGATGAGCATTGGTTGCAATTGCATGACGCCATGAAAATGGCGGGAACAGTCAGTTGTGGGTTTGCGAAACGTCCCGCTTTTAAGCACTGGGTTTCTCCAGGTTCCTTACAACTCATTGAAGCCCGTCGGTCTACGGGTGACCGTGAGTTTGACCATAAACGAAGGATGTTACGTAAGGAAATTGGGCAAAGCTTGAGTAAGGACCGAGAAGCCTGGTGGTCGAAGCGTGCTAATGAGCTGGAAGCAGCAGCTGCATCTGGTAACTACCGGAAGCTCATCCGAGCCACTGGCAGCAAGAAGTCTGGTGTGAGTGAAACAATCTGCGAGGATGATGGGATGCCAATCACTAGCATCCATCGACGTCTCGGACGATGGGCAGAATTTTTCGAAGGGCAGTTCAACTGGCCTGCTGCTCCGGCAACATCGGTCAGACTGTCCTGCCCTCCATGGCCGGTGACGACTGATCCACCAAACGAGGAGGAAGTCCGCAAGGAACTCCAACTCTTGAAGCGTTACAAATCACCTGGCCCAGATGACTTATCTCCGGCTCTTTTTAAAGATGGTGGTGACTTTTTGACTAAGGAATTGACGACGTTGTTTACAAAGGTTTGGGAACTAGAGAGTGTACCAACGTCATGGAATGAGTCGATAGTTGTCCCTATCTTTAAAAAGGGTTCACGTCGTTCCTGTAACAACTATCGGGGGATAAGTCTACTTCCGATTGCGTCCAAGCTATTGGCTTCCGTCATACTTCGTAGGTTGTTCAAAACCCGAGAAAGATTAACTCGCGAGGAGCAGGCTGGGTTTCGTTCTGGTCGAGGATGTGTTGATCATATCTTCACCCTCCGCCAAATGTTAGAACATTGTCATACTTATCAAAGGCCAACAATCGTAGTGTTTCTTGACATCAGGGCTGCCTTCGATTCGTTGGACAGGGCTGTTGTCTGGGATTGTCTATTGAAGAAGGGTGTGCCTGAGAAGTTTATTAACATCCTAAAAGCCCTATATAAAAACACCTCAGGCAGAGTGAGGGCATACAATTATCTCTCTCCATTGTTCCATTCGAGCAGTGTGGTCAGGCAGGGTTGCCCAATCTCACCATTCCTCTTCAACTTTGCCATCGATGACATTCTGGAAACAGCTCTGATGAATGTAAGTAATGGTGGTGTGGATCTGTTGCCTGGAGAAAGACTTCTCGACCTTGAGTATGCGGACGATATTGTCCGAAGGATTGCTGACATTCAGTGGCAACACCATGTCAGTAATGCAGAGGTTCGGCATCGTGTGTTCGGGCACAGAGATGACAATTCAATTGGTGTCACCATCTTGAAACACCGACTTCGGTGGCTTGGACATGTTCTACGAATGTCGTCCCAGAGAATTCCACGTCGTGCATTATTTGCCGACTCTGGGACTGGTTGGAAGAAGCGGAGAGGTGGTCAGTGCATGACATGGTGTCGTGGTATGAAAGAAAGCTGCAAAGGACTGGCTTCTGTCGGTCCTTCACGACTCCCTGGTTGGGGTCTGAGAGATGGTGCTACACAGTGGCTAGAGACGTTATCAGATATGGCTCAGAATAGAAGCCAGTGGC